AAGAAACGGTGAAATATGAGTTCGATGGGTGTTTTTGAAAGAACAATTAAAAATATGGGGTTAAAGTACAAATAGAAAAAGTTCGGCCACGTAGGACTGCCCAGTTAGCGGCCTTGACAAATCGGAGTGCGCCGTGTGGCCAGACGCGCTGATGCCGGCGTCACGCGGGAGACCATGCTGGCGATCCGCGTGCCCCGCGATCGGAAGGTCCAGGATTGATCCCGCGCACATAGATGGTCCAAATTCATTTATCCTTTAGGTGCGATCGAACGGTCGAGATCGAATGCGATGAACAGTCCAGATGCGTTTTCTCTTTAGGCGAGATCGAACAGTTCAGATTTGTTTCCTTCTTAGGTGTGATCGGACTGACAAAATCGATCGCGATGGATAGCCCAGATTAACATGGGAAGGGTATAAATATTTCGCATCACACAGAAACCGAACCCTAGCCAACAGCCCCCCGCCGGAGAAGAAGAAACAGACGCCAGAGAAGGAAGCCGACCGCCGATTGCTGCCGCACCAGAGCCACCTTCGACCGTAAAAAAAGTAAAAATTCTCCTACCCATTTGGAATTCGATTCTGAGCACCTCTGTAGCTATATCGGTGCAAAACAAACGGCAAGTGAGTCAAAAACTGTTGGCAAAGTCCGGCAGGGCCGCCGCAGCCCAAAACCCGCAACCTCTTCTAATAAACCCCTTCCTGGTTAACGTTTCGTATAATTTTTCTATCATTGTGTTCATCGTTCTATTTTCTGCAGGTTGACCAAATGAAGAATTCCAACCGCGAAGGAGAGCAGGGAGAGCTGCCGTTTCTGAAAAATCCACCTTTGATAGGTTTTGGTTTCTTGATTTTTTCGGCCAACCAAGGCTCCCTAACGTGTTTTTTCACAAGGATATGTGTAAAATGGTCGAAACTGGCCTAAACTGACCGAAAACGGCCATACCGAGGCAAACTGCCACCGTAAGCGGTGCTACTATGCCAAAATTCCGAAATTGACTGGAATGAATTTTTAACACTGATTTTAGATTTTTGTAGTATTTTTTTAGGTACGTCGAACATGTTTATTTTTTGTAGAAAAATTCAGAAAATTCAGGGACTGCTGGGAGGCGCAGTAGAAAGTACGGTGTTTCGAACACCGATTCGGGTGAGAATCCCTCACCCTATTCCCTGTTATGAAATTGAAGCTTAAAAATCAACAATATGGTATTTTGTGAATTTTAAAAAACTTTGGGAATAATTATATGTCATCAATGGAGCGAGACCAGTTAGTTATTTATTTGTTCTATTTAACTGATTATTTACTTGTACAACTTTAAATACATGATAATATATTAAAATAGTTAAATGATTCAGTTGTGTGTTTTTTATACATATATCGCTTGTTTTGTGTGATTTACAATTGATTGTGAAACTTGAAATTTATATATAAATGAGAAATTGTTTGATGATGTGAATTAATAAATGATTGTCTTACTGGATATCTTGAAAAATGGTGGGCGGACTGGGTACATAGGGAACCCTACCATGAATGTTACCTCATACCGGACGAGGTATCGAGGGATGGTATTTTTGGCGCTCATACTAGATAGGGTATGGGGACAACCTGATTCACCCTCATACCGGACGGGGTATCGAGGGATGACATTTTTTGCCTTCATATTGGACGGGGTATGGGAATGACCGAATAATTGACAAGTTCAGATATTGGGTTCACGCATAAGAGGGCATCCCTATGGACTCCCAGAGGTACTAGTAAGTAGATAAAAAAAAAAGAAAAAAGAAGAAAAGTTGTTGTTCTTGCTCACTTATATAAAAAATCATAATGTTATTTGAGTTATTGTCTCTATAGGTTGATTTTGGAAATATCATAACGATAAGTATGCAATAAATGATTTTTCTTATGATAAATGAATTTACTTAAATTAAGAATTTCATTAGTCGTTTTATGTTTTTTACCAACTTCAGTTTTCGGATTGATGAGTAGTATGATATTCTTATTAGGCTAGTATAACTCACCCCTATTAATCATTTCAAATCAAGAAGATCAACACTTAGATCCTAATCAGCAGGAGGGCTGTGAGTAGGTATCCCTCAGATCCCATCAAGAGTTAATGGAGGTTAACCTCCCTACAATATTTATTTACTATTTTCATATGTTTATTTCGTTTTTTTTCATGAACTGCTATGAAATGGACATTTCTGTAGCCTTATTGGGCATTCAAATTTATGTGTAAGGAATATAAACTCTAACGTTATTTTACGCTTTCGCATTAAATTTATGAATTTATTTTCCTTCTAGTTTCGAGCTGTTTCATATTCTCTAGGTTCTTGATATGATCATTCAAGAAACATTAGGTTTGGTTAGAGAAGTATTTATATATTTTCTCCATTGATGATGATATGAAGTATAGGTTACTTCATAATATTATGTACTTGGATTGTTTTATAATAGATTTGATTCGAAATTTAGCCTGTGAATTTTTTTTTTACACTGGAGAGTTTTCTACATAAATTTTGTGTCTCTTTATTTTGTAATTGTTCATTTGCTTGCATTGGTATTGATTTACAGGGCTGATGGCTTGGAAGTATTAATTGGACTTTATGGATTACTGTTGTAATTAGCTTAATTTACACAAGAGATTAATATATTTTGAAAGATCCAGCACCTCACACACTCAGACACTATCCAAACTCTTTTTATCTTTTTTTCATCATTAACATACTCCTCGAGTACGTCCACCATTCTACTCATCCTTCCAACCATCTAAATAACTTAATAATAAAAAAACTTGCAAAATAGAAAAAACAAGTGAAAGAAATAGTAGGCTAATATTCAATCTCCAAGTGTTCTCCAGAAAAGTTTTATAGACATAGTAGGCTAATATTCAACAAACTGATAATGTTTTGATCCTAGGAGGTTCAAAATAAACATCAATGCTAGCCTGTCGCACAAATAAATTAGTACCATAGTTCACTCTCATCTTGCAAAACCATCCGTTATCGAGTTTTTTTTCCTTTATTAACATTCATAAAACTTGTGTTTTTCAGTACCATTTTTAAATTTATAATCTCATTAACAATCATATTTAAGCCTAATGAAAAGAATTATTCACATTCTATGAAACAACCACCATTGAATTGCTTTCCATAAAAAAAAGTTCATTCGATCAAGTTGTTTACAAGAATACATAGTGCCTCCTTTATTGTTATCAACTCCACTTGATTTGGGTCTAACAAACCATCATTTTTTTAGAAAAAAAAATTTATGATATTACTGGTCTACTTCTTCAAAACTGTTGAAGATTAATTTATAATTGTTATAGTAAGACTTATTTCTTATTGTTATCATTCGTGATTTTGGGAATTTTGTAGGATTTTTTAACTTCAAATTAGTTTTAGCAAATCATATTAATTAAGATTTTCTAGTTTTTTTTTTTTAATATTTATTTACTTTCAGTTTTAAACCTGTAGTTGGGCATTCTTAGTTGTGACAAGAGCAATGTAACTTTAATTCAAATTATTAATGTCAATTTTACAATAGAGTGTTTTTCAATTCTTTGCTTGAATTTTATCTCCCCTATTCTGTTACTTCTCCTTCTTTTCCTTATATTTCTGGTATGCGAGCCATAGTCATCAATTAGCAATGCATTTAGCATTTCACAACCCTTTCTTTATCTATATTTTCAAAGGAGAGAGTTATGAGTTTTGGAATAGTAGAATAAATATTAAAGTCTCTATTTAAGTCTTAAGATTTTTGAGATTTAACAGAGAATGAATATGCTAATCTTTATAAAAATAACTGGTTAAGGGAGAACAAAAGGAGGAACTCCAAGGCACCTTTTTTTTTATTAAAAAATTATAACCTCATAAAAAATATTCCAGTATCTCAGTAAACCACTTGCCTCGTCTTCCATTGTAAAATGATTAATTAATACATACATACATACATAGAGATTGGTTCACAAGAGAAATAAAAACTTCTCATAAAACTAGGAACAATATTCAATGGAATAGCTGCGTTACATTTTGAATTTAAGAAATTAATGTATATACTGTCTTTTTTTTTATAAAATAAACAAATGGTCAGATTTCACATGGCATGGGTAAGAATCAAAGAGTTAGTGTTCTTTTTCCTAAAAAATAAATAACTATATTACTGACAAAATCCAAAATTCTAAAATTTACCTGATGTGGGTTCATATCCAAATCAGTCTTTTTCTTCTTTGGGTCAAATTGGGACTACTGTGTTCAAGTTTAAAGTTTAAAAAAAAAAAATGCTTGAACCGGACCCAATTATATATGTATAATTAAAAATATAAAATATATATACTAGAGCGAGGCAGTTTTAACCAAAGATTCACGCGAATCAAATGAAATAGTGTTTTCAAGAATTTCCCCATATCCATGAAGGATTCGAATTCCTTTAATTCATGATCTTCGGCTCAGGTTTTGCAAATCCGCTTTGAACCCGACTTGTTATCATCCTCAATTACGTTGCTTATGCCATGTTCAAGAGAAGCTATCCTCTAACTATTTGAAACTCTATTCTATTTTATTTTATTCTATTAAGCAAACTAAACGTGTCATAAATGTATGTGTGTCATTGTTACTAGTTCAATCGATCCATTAAGTAAGAGTTTTGTGGGCTTTCAAAAGTTTTTCTTAGGGCCAACCATAATACATTTGATGATTATTAACTGGAACTGGTAAATCCTGCAAGGAATCCTTTTTTGGCTCTGGAAAACTAATAACCTTTTCCCTTTCTTGATCAGAAATGCCATTTGACTATTCTAGCCGTTGTTGTTGATTGATTATTGGATTCTTTGAAAAATCCCTCTATGATTTTGAGAAAATCTATCGTAGCTTTCATCCATTGGTTAAGAGGATGTTTTTGGATTTTCAAATACATGTCAAAACCTGACAGCCAATCAGGGAAAGGTTGAAGATCCACATGGATAGGATTGTGGACCTCACAGCATCCTATATAAAAACCACCGTTCACTCCCCTCTTCATCCATCACCAGATACAACTAACAGCCAGCAACAGCAGCCCTACATAAAACAAGATACATGGCTACCATGGCACTCTCATCACCATTCGCAGGCAAAGCTGTCCCTCTCAATGCAGGGACAGAGCTTTCATCAGCTGTCCGCAGCGGCAATGGAAGAGTGTCAATGAGGAAAACAGGAAAGCCAGCTGCTTCCTCTGGGAGTCCCTGGTACGGCCCTGATCGTGTCAAGTACCTTGGACCTTTCTCTGGTGAGCCCCCATCTTACCTAACTGGTGAATTCCCTGGTGACTATGGCTGGGACACTGCAGGACTATCAGCTGATCCTGAAACCTTTGCCAAGAACCGAGAGCTTGAGGTCATTCACTGCAGGTGGGCAATGCTGGGAGCTTTGGGATGTGTTTTCCCAGAACTTCTCGCCAGGAACGGTGTTAAGTTTGGTGAGGCAGTTTGGTTCAAGGCTGGTGCTCAGATCTTCAGTGAGGGTGGTCTTGACTATCTTGGAAACCCAAGCCTCATCCATGCTCAAAGCATTTTGGCCATATGGGCAACTCAGGTTATCTTGATGGGCGCTGTTGAAGGTTACCGCATTGCTGGAGGACCACTTGGTGAGGTCACTGATCCCCTCTACCCAGGTGGCAGCTTTGACCCCTTGGGACTAGCTGATGATCCTGAGGCATTTGCCGAGCTTAAGGTGAAAGAAATTAAGAACGGACGACTGGCCATGTTCTCAATGTTTGGGTTCTTTGTCCAGGCCATTGTAACTGGAAAGGGACCACTTGAAAACCTTGCTGATCACCTGGCTGACCCTGTGAACAACAATGCCTGGGCTTACGCTACCAACTTCGTTCCTGGGAAATGAAATATCCAACTTTAATGGCAAATGTTTCAATAGTTCTATGTGATGTAACATTACATATTTGTGCCATAAATATGTTGGACCTATTTTTCAAAAACAAAACCTTTCCTTACGTCAGACCAATTCCAAACATATATTAAATAATCCCAACTGCTATAGACACATGGTACACCTGATAGATCTCCAACTCTTCAGTTAATCTGATTAGAGTTGATAGCCAATTGTTTCAGAATGACATAATCCGTTTCACAAACATAAAAAAAGAAATTAAGACTATGAACTAACCTACAAAATCTGGTTCAGAAATAAACCAGAACTCAAAAAATTGGCTGACTTAACATGAAATGTGATGGAATCAGTTGTGCATCAAGCACATAAAATGTCAAGAATGCATACAAAAAAAATTTAAGACAAGCACTTAGAAACCTGGTAAAAGAATAGTGGGCTCTCCAGATACTTAAATATTAATATTTATCTGAGGGTGTAGCAGGCTGGTAAACTGATCTTCAGTGAGGGTGGTCTTGACTGCATTTCTGAATGTAAACAGAGATCAGTGCTTGCAGTCACTAAATCAATT